AAACTTTGTAACAAACCATTAGTAAAATTTCTGTATCTAGATATGTATCATATGGACTACTATGATGAGATATGCACCTCTAGTATTTATTCATGTTGACCATTAACCTAAAAATACCCTCTTGGAAACATTTTAACTTAAAATATGACAGCAATTAATACTTTAATTATTACAGCAGCTAACTATCTAGCAATGACAATATTAAAGTAACACAACAAACAAATTTAACATAAGAACCCAGATATCACTTTCTTAAAAAGATCAATCATGGTTTACTTTTAGTATTATAAAACATTTTGCGAATATAACATAAAAATTTTTCACATTCAATCTAGACTTACTGAAATCAATAGATCATACAACAACAATAAGAAACTCTAAATATTCCTATTACATTATCAAAAAGCCTAGCTATTACTTATAAAAAGGCTAGAAATACACTTTAATTGCTACAGTACCGTACTGCTCCTTGTCGAATGATTTTGATTTCTGTATCGGGATCTAGTTCTGTAGCTCCAACCACCTGACCATCATCCCATCTTTCACCACTCCCATGGATACTGCATTGCTTCTCTCCTTCGGGTAACAGACAATGAATAAAAAATATAAGATGAACATTTATGATGGAAAATTAATTTTAAAAAATGAAAGCCAAAGATGGTGATGTAAACCCTATGTATTCACGATTCAGTTAAAAGCATTTTTTTTTATACAATATTGGAAATCTGCCTACCATTTCAGCATCATTGGCAGTGTAGGTGGAAAATATAAAATATGGATTAAAGAGACTTTTTATTAAATAATCATTTCAAACAAACACACTATCGTAATCATTCTTCAGTTTACCTACTTTGATATAAATCAGAGAGGTATATTTTCTCACATGAAATTGTTGCAAATTCTTGGTTCAGTACATAACCAAAAGCATTAACATTTTAATTATTACACCACTATCATTCAAACAAAACAGCAATGCTGTATTCTTTAAATTTTTCAGTCATGAATGCTCTAAAAGAAAGCAAAAATTACTGTTACAGGATATTCTTACAAGTAACGTACAAGTTACAAAACTGATGGAATACATGACATGAGTTCTTATTACAGAAAACTGTGTAGTAGTAACTGTACAGTGCACTTAAATGATGCTGACAACACGTGCAGAGGGGACTCGAGATTTCATAGTTTTTGCCTTTATACTTTATTCCTAAACACTGGTTTACAAACTTCAGATGCAACTGTTACAAAGAGCAATTTTGAGTAATTTTAAAATTTACCTTGAAACATATTATACCGGTATCATGTTGATAGCACAAAATTCCTAACAATAAACAGCTTGAAGAATTGTTGAACAAGACACAAGATGAAAAACTTGGATAAAATATAATAAAGAATTAATTGATATGCTCCTATTCCAAATGGTCTTTGCTGCCTGATGAAGGGCATCTGCCTGAAACATCACACAAATTAAAACTAGAAAAAGTTTACATCTAGACGTACCAATTTATCCTTTATTATATTTTATCCAACAATAAACAGCCTACAGCTCATAACAATGCCATCTATTTAGACCTAGTGTAGTAAAGTAATAATCCACTTCGTCTAATAACAAAAACATTGTTTAACGTGGTACACAAACAGTTCTCTCTATAAGATATCAGTTAAGAATAATTTGGCTTACACATAATTAACAAACAAATTTTTAGAGCTCATCATTTAAAGTATTGGACATTTCTGAAAAGAAAAAAATTTTTTTTTTCTTTCACTGCTGCTAAGAACGTCTAGAACCTTCCAGCCAGTTTTGTATTCTGTATCAGATATCTTAAAATAATAGCAATACTTAAATATCTAAATACCTTTTCAAATTTCAAACAGTTACAAAAGTAATATAAAAAAGAATATCTGTCTATTTGCAGAATTTAAAAGTTAGATACCGCATGCTCAAAAAATGTGTAACCTGTATCAGTCATATTACTGCAACAAACCACAGACCTATTCAAATCATAACATGTAAAAATTCCAGAACTAGTAAATGCTTTGGAACATGATTTACAAAAGAAATGTGCAGAAAAAAACTGCAATAATAAAGTAGAACACAATAGTATATCTCAAAAGTTAAGTTCTAACAAGTGTTTTTTCATAATCCCTGTTCCACTTAAAAATACATATTACATGTGCAGGTCAGAAGTGTTTCACTTTCATGGTGTGAAAACATGATCTTAGCATGAAAACGCATCACACTACATCACTTTCATGGTGTGAAAACATAACCTTAGAATGAAAACGCATCACACTACATCACTTTCATGGTGTGAAAACATAATCTTAGAATGAAAATGCATCACACTACATCACTTTCATGGTGTGAAAACATAACCTTAGAATGAAAACGCATCACACTACATCACTTTCATGGTGTGAAAACATAACCTTAGAATGAAAACGCATCACACTACATCACTTTCATGGTGTGAAAACATAATCTTAGAATGAAAACGCATCACACTACATCACTTTCATGGTGTGAAAACATAACCTTAGAATGAAAATATCATTAACAATTATGATAGCCAAGTTGAATCACACATACAAGCAAGATTTTAGTTTGTTGTTAAGCACAAAACTACACCATAGTTTATCTGTACTTTGTCCACCAAGGATATCTAAATTGGATATTTAGTGTTATAATTACTCACACTTACTGCTGACCCACTGTGGGGCCAATAATTTAGTAACTTAAATTCAAAAAATCAGCTTTGACATTATATGGATTAGTCACGGCCACCAAAAAGCTTGTACAAGATCCTCATTTGCAGTTCATTCATCAAAGAACATCACTTGAAATTGGGGTTCTCACATCCTAACTCACTGAGGGGTCAAAGGTTTATTGAGTGACACACAAAGTTTTTATCCATTTGCAACATGTGGGATCAAGTCCTTATGGGGGTCAGAAATTAACTGATATTTATAATTACCTGTTCCCATCTATGCTTAATAGATCAATATCCATTATACATATATATAAAACAGCTAAAATGATCCGTTTTTGTTTGACTAAAATAAAAAAACTGCTACAAAAACCCTTTTTCTAGTCCTGATCTGCTAGATAAAAAAAAATGAACAGTATGGAAATTGAGATAACAGTTTTATACTCCTATAGGCCATTCAACTATGCAAACATTAGGAATGTTAATGAACAAGGTGAATTTAGTAGTGAACTGTTTTGTCTCAATTAAACATTTTTATTTTACAAATATTGTGAATCTGACAAGCTGATACAACACATGACTCAGTATCTCACGTGTACCGCACGATGTTGAATTTCCCTGTGCATGTTCTATTATCTCGGAAAGTATTTTATTTTTTAGAAATGAAGAGATAAAGGTCAGTAACAAATTAATGGTAGCAGTAAAAAAAATTAAAGTTTTTTAAACTTTCCTAAAGAGAAAAGAGAGACAGACAAAAGTCAATCAAATGCTTCTTAAATATATACAAATAACTAAACTATATTAGTAGTAGTAAGAGCTAAGCAATTTAATCTATTATGTATGAGCAGTGATTACATTGATTAATCAAAATTAGTTTGCAATTATTGATGTTTTTGTTATTTCAACAATCGGTTAATCTAAATTTCAATTATATCAATTGTCATGAAAATAATCAAATAATTGAAATTGTGGTTTACGATTATTTCAACTATCCTAGTAACCAAACCCGCTTGCTTTTTGCTATGGAAAAGATACTAAGGTTATCTGCCACTGTCACTAAAGTTTAACTGCTGACTAGAAGGAAGCCAACCATCTAGCAACCCCCCCCCCCCCCAGAAACTATAACTGGTTGGCAACACTTACTGCCAACCTTTTCTTTATATGGCTACTCAAGGCTTCAGGCCTACATTTTAAGGGTATAAGGTAGCTTTAATTGTACATTCCCAAGTACAATCTTGAAAGAGTTCAGCATCCTACAAATTCCACACGCTAGTTTATCTAATTCCATTCTTGAATTTCCTTACGTCGCTTCCCCAAATTTCTGGTGAGCGAAAATCTTGAGAAATAAACTGGAAACAAATCTCACAAACTAATAAATGTTTGAAATGTCTTACTCTTGTATAGTTGTTCTTCTGTTCCACATACTAAATTCACTTACTTTCTGTAAACACTGGAGGAAGACAATCATGAATAAAGGTTTTGGCCATCTGATCCACAGCCGAGTCAATGGGAGCAAATTGTACTAGCTTGCTGAGAAGATGGTGAATTTTCTTCAAGAATTCATCTCGCTCAGGGCTCTCCTATAGAGTTAATATTGACCTATTAAAATATGCAACATAGAAGCAAAAATATTTATAGTAAAGCTTCTGTAAAACTTAATAGCAATCTATCGGAAAAAATCACTGAGCTGGTATCAAACACTTGGTCAATTATACTGTAAAACACCTATTTGTATTTTGTCTTGTGAGCACAGCATATTCAAATTAGATGTTTTACATACCTACACCCCAAACAGGCACTCAAAGTAAACAGTTGTGTTCATTCAGGACTGAGAGATAACATATCCAACATATAACGATTGAAAAGGAGAAAGACATCCATTGAAGATGAGAGTTATAGCGAAAAAATAGTCCAGTTGAAATAAGATATCTATGAGGAGGCTGATGCTTTTAGTAATAATTAATACAAAAAACGAATTTTCCACTGATGATGCTTTGAGAGATAACAGTTTAAAATAAAGTGCTAACTCTGATGAAGATAACAACTTATAATACGAAATGTAATGCAAAAGTAGCTACTGGACACAAAGTGGGTCCAATAAAAGACAGTCCCTGGTTTAACATTTATTTATAGGTTGTAGCTGATGATACTGGAACAGAAACAAGACCAAAAACTTGACAATCTGGTATTTAATGGGAAAACACTGAACAGTTCTCTTTCTGAATTTTTATGAAAAGCTACACAAAAGATTATCTGCAGATAGCCATTACTAATTCAGAACTGACAACTAATAAGTAGCACCCACCACCAACTGTCATTACTAATTCAGAACTGACAACTAATAAGTAGCACCCACCACCAAACTGTCATTACTAATTCAGAACTGACAACTAGTAAGTAGCACCCACCACCAACTGTTGGGTTACTCTTTTCTAACAAAATAATGGGATTTAACCAACAATATTAGAATGCACCTTCAGATTCACAGTCTGAACTCATTTAACACTAGGTTTCACCCAGCCCAACAGTTAGTGAAGTTAAACAGCTGGTACATAAAATAATGTTTTGCTTATCAAGAAACAATTTAAGTGTACAAAAAATGGCCAACTTGAAAGAACTTCCCCTGTTATTGGAACTATATATTATAAATATTTATCATTTCCCTCATCATGTATTACAAAACTAATTGGATATTTATAAATTCTAAATGCTCAAGATGAAATTATAAATGCAAAGTTCAACAGAGTTCTCATTTTTTGAGTCAAACATCCTGTTTTTTGGGTTTTGTTTACTCACAGTATCACAGTTGGCAACACCCATGTGTTTCAGGTAATCAAGAGGAAGAGAATGTCTGTATTCAACATCTTCTGCAATGGCGAGGAACAAGGCCTGAGGAACAAGCTGGAGAAACAGAAACATGATATACAATCCAGTTCTGAAGCTAACAATAACTATGTTCAAGTAAAGATTAAATTGTTCTTATATAATAATTCCACATTCTACTTGTTTAACTACCTTAAATAATTTACAATTAAATAAATAATCTATAGTTGTACAGTGACTGATTCTACTGCAGAGAGAATAATTCTGAACAGATCTGTAAGCAAATAACAGTGTAATATATATAATTAAAATACTCTGCAGTGCTTTGAACCGCTCTGTACACTTGTATCAAAATCTTAACATCATTTCACTCTGTAATATCTGATAAAGAATTTATTTTTAAAGTTTTCTTTTTACATGTATATTTTGCTTTCTAACCAGATTAAACATTTATATTTAGCTTTAACAGCTAAAATACAAAAAGCAATAGGAAAATGTATTGAACTCGACTTTTTCAATAACATAAATAACTAATTAGTTTGCAAGACCCATACAATGTAAGCAAAACATTACAGATATAAAATGTTTATTTAAATATACTTCTCAAGTGTTCTAGTTGACATCATCTTTACGAGTTTCTTTACCTTAATATTCCAAAATTAACCTGGACACTATGACATGTTTTTGGCTTCATGGCTCCAAGTTCATATATATAAACCTTAGGACTTTTATTCCATTTACAAAAGCTAAGCCAAATTTAAATTATATATATAACATTAAATATATTCACAAATTTTATAACAACACTTGAGTATATCACTTCAGTAAAAACACATACATAACTCTGTGTTTCCTTTCAGGTACTTCTAATTTTAAAAGCTTGGAATAAACTCCTTAATGCTACTATCCCAAAGAGAGAGTAGTTTAAGTTGACTCGTCTTTTTTATCTTCTTAATGATCAGACTCATTCTTCAAGACATTAGGTTTTAGTTTTATTATGGACACAAGCTTTAGAATTTTTTCACAATTAACCATGGCAACAGAAGTACATAAAATTTTGCTATTCTTTCGTATTGTTGCAAACATTAGGCTGTTAATAGTTAACACGTAATTACTTAATAAATATTTAGCCTCAGCATGTGTCAGCTGGTTACCATTTCGTAAGTTCAACTCAACAACAAGTTCATCACATAAATAACATAAAACAGGCTGCACACTTACCTTCTCGAGTAAATCACCCCAGGTGTTCTTTTGACAAGTAGATAAGGTAATGTGAAGAGAGTGGCTGTCTTCTGGAGTTGAGCCCTATGGTAGGTAATATTCTTTTCATACAAACACAGATGTATATACACATATACATGAATATTTAACTACAGAACAAATTTAAGCACGATTGTACTTATTTTAAAAAAATATTTAATTTATATTATTTCAAAGTGGTGAACCACTTTACAGTAACTATCATGTGGTATATCTTCTTAGGATATTCCAACATTTTAACAAGTCACACTGGTAGTACTGCTAGACTTTTCAAAACATCAATTGAAAGCCACAATTTGCAAAAAATATTTAATCCTCCTTGCTTAAAACATACGCAACATATTTTCTAAAACACTAAAAGAGTGTGATTTTTTTTATTTGTACATTAATAAAATCTCTTTCGTTAGTACTGGAAAGAATCAGAAAAATAGGTACAGATGTGCAATTTATTTAGCAACAATGAAAACTAACTTATGTACCGACACATTTTATATCCATAACAACCACAACTGCAAGAAATATTATGAAAATACTAAATTTCAAACTTGATATTCTCTACTGTTAAACTCTAAACACACACACAACAGACGGAAAAACAACACCTAAGACAGATTTTCATTTATCTATTTTTTTACACAATATACTAACTTTTATGACACTTATATATACAAATTGTTGACTCGGTTTAAATTATAATTTCAAGCAAAATCAGGATTAATTTGATCTCTCCATTTTTATTTTTCTTAGGCTTCTTCAGTTTACCAGTTCTTTGTTTTACATGCTGTATTGCTATTAATATTTTCTGATGAGATGGTGCCAACCTGTAGATTATAAGTAAATCACAAAGGATTCCCTGACCTGAATGACCGATAGCTGTCATAAGGAAGCTAAGGTTAGAACTCACTGGCACTACGAGTGTTTTACTTCAATCATTTTACAACAATATTGTTCCATAAAACTTTCCTTTTGCTATTTTTTATTATCTTCATATTTTAGATTTTGTGATTTCAAACATCCACTGTCAAAACCTGTAGCTCTGTGAAACTTTATAACCACTTCTTCTTTATAACCACACGTGTAAAGTAGGGGATAACAAAATGAAAATACATAATTTGAAAATAATGAAACACCCTACTAAGAAAACACCTTGTTTGGTATGTTCTGAAGTCATTTGTGTAATTTCAGGTTTTATAAATGCTTAAAAAATCAGCATATGAAAATAATGTAAAAAAATTAAGTGCAAGTTAGAACAAATTTTCAAAAGAAGCTTAATCAAGAAAGGATTAATATTTAATCTTTTGTTCTTTAATACCTAGTTCTTCATAATTAATCACAACACACAGTCCTTATCACTTGCACTGTGTCTAGGTGTTTGTAAATACTTTTCGATGATAGACCATGTGGTGTTTGTAAATGCTTTTCGATGATAGACCATGTGGTGTTTGTAAATACTTTTCGATGATAGACCATGTGGTGTTTGTAAATACTTGTCGATGATAGACCATGTGGTATTTGTAAATACTTTTCGATGATAGACCATGTGGTGTTTGTAAATACTTTTCGATGATAGACCATGTGGTGTTTGTAAATACTTTTCGATGATAGACCATGTGGTGTTTGTAAGCTAGTCATCATCACCCACTGCCAATTCTTGGGCTACTATTTTACCAATGAATAGTGAGATTGACCATCACATTATAATACACCCACAGCTGAAAGGGCGAGCATGTGTGGTGGGACGGGGATTTGAACCCATGACCCTCAGATTGCGAGTCGATTTACCTAAAATTTCTGAATCTGTAATGATATCTATAAAATATCGTTTCCCAACTTCACATATAATCACACTGTGAGATAGCAAATTCTATTTTTTTATGATTATGGTTGTGTTTATCGTTTATTTATTATTTCCTTCTATCGTTTAGTTTATTTATGAATTTTTAGTTGCATTAAGACGCAAACTCACCTTCTAGCTAATCATTTGTATTTTGAGTAAATATGTATGTATGATCAAACTGACAACAAGTTCCCTAGCGGTGATGAAACAGATACTATTAATGTAGCAGAAGATTGTGGAAGTTTATGGTCACGTGAAGTTGTACTCTCGCGACATACTCAGTGAATAAATACCCTGCCAGAAGCTTCAGTATGAGAGTTAGTGAACAATACAGTTAATGAATTATGGCTGTTTATCACTCAATATTATTAATATTGAAAGGTACTTTTAGAATATTGTGTTTG